CCCCAAAACCCCAAAACCCCTCATTTCTAAAAATAGATTAAAAAGTGAATTTTGAAATCAATTAATATCTTTATTAACATTATTTTTATTAATTCCATAGACTGAATCCTGTGTAATTTTTTGTTTCTTGAAATGCTTGGAATAATAGTTATGTAGCTGAAGCATAAGTAGGTAAGACAATGGAATCACAAAAACACAAGCTATTAGCAAATTGAAAATACACAGCAGATTGTAGATGAAATAGCTCACATAGATGTGATTGAATTGATAAATAGCTTCATCTGAATGTTAATCATTATTGAAAGTCATATCTCTATCCAAATCGAATTCTAAATATTTAGAAATATTTTCTTAAGGTTATACTGCAATAGCTTTGATTGAAACAATGATAGTAGTCAGAATTAGTCCAAATGTACTGAATAAAAATCCGATAAATAGTAGATGATTTTTCCTACCAATACAATTATTTAGCCAGTTACAATGATGATCAAAATCAAGAGTACATTAATTGCAAATATAGCAATGTTTACTTTGTTAAATTACTAAATTTTCACAGTATGGACAAAGCATTTTTACATCAAACCTTGCCACCAATTGAGAGAATTTCTTTTCTTTTTTAATCACAGACTGAACTTTTTAAATGCTTATATCTTTTGATTTTGTTGAACCAGGATCTCTAATCCAGCAACAAAGATATAAGAACAAAGAGAATAAATAAAACATATCTACAGTAAATGTACTAGTCTAGTCATCAACATCTAAAATATTATTGATTATATAATTAAGCTTACTAGGCAAAATAGCAACTTGATAATTGATAAAAGTTATCACAATCATTACATGAAAAATATAGAAATACTTCCTAGTTGGCTTGAGCTGTTATATCGGCTGCCTCAAAGTTAAAAATGAATAGCATTTCTTTTTATTTACAGCCTATAAATTACTAATTGACTATTTGAATATTACTAATAATTTCTAAAGGTCTCTATGCAATTGTACACCTGCTTTATCTCTTGGGGTAAAATTTTCTAGTAAATCTACAGGATATCTTCCATAATTATCTTTGACATCTCTCGAAGCACCTTTTAGTATAAGTTTTATGAGAAGATAGTCACTTTAAGTCTTGAATGAAGATAATACCGCATGATGTAGGGCTGTCAAACCTTTATTGTCTTTTATCATTTTATCTGCCTTCTAAGCTATTAGATAATGAAATGATGTGTAAGAATCATTAATACAAGCCAGGTGTAATGGCGTCTAGCCTCTATTATCTTAGAGGTTAATATTTAGACCCTGCTCCTTAAAGTATACAATTGTAAAAGGCTTATTTGCCTATGCTCCTAGATGTATCATATTTTAGCCTGAAGAGGTCAACTCCTCTTTTTTACAACCAAATTTGACAAGATATTTTATCATATCAGAATTGCCAACAAGTGCAGCTAGCTACAATGGAGTCATCCTATCTTTATTTTTTGTATGTTTGCTTAATAAATGCTATAGCATCACTTTATCATTGATATCCATGCTTTGCAGCCTTAAATTAAATGGATCCAAAGAATAATGTGATTTAATCTATTAAAATATAAATAATGTTATTAAAAATACCACATATTGGAGTAACTTTGAAAGAAGAATAAGATTTCCAGTTAAGATAGAAATGTGGATAGGGTTTAACCCTTATTCGTCAATCTAATCTTCGAAGTCTATATCCCTATGCTAATTTAGGTATTCATCTAAGTGAGCAATATTTCTAGACCTGATAATTTGAATAATTTTTGAAGTAGGATAATTTAGCGGAAATATTTTAAGACTAAGGCTGTTTTTCTAGCTCAGTTAAAGATCCTATCGTTCTTGACTCCTTTCCTCCTTCTCCTAATTACCCTTCCTTACAAACTGCTATTCTGAATGCTTCCTTTATTTGTATTTTTCAAATAAACTACTATCAGCCTAGATATTAAAAAAAAGAAATAAATTTATTACCTCTAAATCTTCAGTGTTTTTGCTTATGTCCGCTGTAGATGTTGCACAAACTTTTCTTTAATGAGATAAATGAAAAGATTTATAGGTATAATGCTGCTTTTTTGATGATTTTTTAGGACTTTCGGTGTTTTGGCGACCTATTTGAGGTTACGTTTCATAGAATAATTCCTCTTTAGTATATTCATCTTCTGACTCTCGACTTAGCAATGGTTCACTTAGATTTTATGCCCCTAGGTTCATTTTGAACTTATCAGATATATTATTATATATTTTCTAATATAATATATGAAACATTAATAAATCTGACTTTATTACAATGAACTTAGCACTTCTTTCCCAATTAGTTTATCTATACCTAATGGGGTTTTGGGGTTTTGGGG